TTTTCAGTACAGTTGCGAGTTACTCAGCGTGTAGTATTTTATTAAAATATTTTTATCGTCGACTATTTACTGATTTTGTTGTGCTTTAGTGACAGTGTGAGTTATGGAAGATGACAAGAAAAAAGGAGGAGTTGTTTGTAGTTATAAAGACTGCAAAAATAAATCTTATACTGTTCCTAATAAATTTTATAGATTTCCTCAAGAGGTTGAAAGGTAATTATAAAAAATTAAATATAATAAATACTTTTTTGTATATAGGGTGTTTCCGAACTTGGTGTCCAAATTTGTAGGGGTGGTAGTTCGCATAATTTGAGAGCGATTGGCAGATTTCAATGCATTTATTTTAAGATATCTCGAAAACGGTTCTTAAGGTAGGCGCGACAGACGACCGCCGACGCGACAGAGAAGTGTCTCTTCACGTCTAAAATACATACAATTATATGAAACACATTTTGCACGGCGCGACACGAGAAGTGTCGTCAAGACGACACTTCTGAATCTGTCTCGGGGCAAAACGTTTGCTGCGTGTCGCACTCGAGGTCACTGTCCTCAGGCATCGCTTCTTTTTGAAGGTGATTAGGTTGGAAATTTCTTTCGATCTAGGCAGTGTTGCCAGATTTAAAAAAAACGTAGATATGAACAGTAGATTTTAATACAGGGGGAAATAATTATAATTTGCAGTGTAGTAAATAAAAAAACAAGTATATAAGAAACGAAAAATAAACTTTTTTTTACCCAAATTAGAAAGTAAACAAATAATAACATTTTTAATATATACTTAACGTACGGAAACAAAAAAAAAACAATGAAAAATAATAGGTACCTACTTCTTTTACATCAGTCTGAATCAGATAATTCAAAATCGTAGTGTTTGGCATATGAATGTTCTTTTTATGATGCCCTATTAATTCTTTGTTTCATTTTAAATAAAAACAATGATTATCTAGATGTTTTTTTTATGGAGCCAACCTTCAGTAGTGGATGCTTATTACGCTGCTTTTACTGCAGAAAATTTACTAGAGAAAATATTCTTTAACCATTTGCTGAAGAATGGGGCAAACTTAATAAATTAGGAACAAAATTTGCTAGAGACAAAAACAGTGAATCTACGTAAAAACAATAGGTCTGGCAACGCTGATCGTTCTCTCGAATGGTTATCCTGAAAGTGTCTCGTGATCAGTGTCACCAGATCTCCTGTTTTCACTCTCAACCTCCTGTTCTACTGTTTTGACTATGAAATCTACTGTTTTTAGTCTCGATGTCTAATTTTCTGCATTTTCTAGGAAATCTTCCGTTGGTTTCAGTAATTTTCACTAGAATATTTTAATACGACACTTTGTTTCGACGACGATTGACAATTTCTATTTTTAGTACTACGAAATTTACATTTTTTTTGTTTGTTTACATGTATATTATATGACTTTTTTTAAATTTTATAGGTACCTACATATGTGAAAATTAAAATTTTTTTTGACCTACTAACCGACTAGAAGGCTAAATCTCGTGACGTTTTGATGTAATTGAAAAATTTTAATTGAATTCCCTAGAGTTATATTTGTAATTTCTCTCCTGTTTTTTTGACTATATTCCTACTGTTGACAGAAATTTCCATCTGGAAACACTGCTCGCGACCCGTCTCCAAGCTTCCGAAATGTACGGAGCGTAACATTTATGCATCTGTCGTCCTTGAGGTCGCCTCGGTGGTCTCCTGACGCGCCTACCGAAATGGTACCTTACCATATTTTTTAAAATTTATTGTTACGTAAATCAAGAAGTTATAAAATTTTCTAAAAAAATCGCTGAATATTTTGACCGTTTTAGTAAAAAGATATAAATTTTTAAAATAAATATATTTTTAAAGCCGTTGACGAGTAGTTGCTTAAAATTATTACAACTTGGCAACATTGTAATCACTACACGTAACAAAATAATACTCGATTAGCTAAGAGGTTGTTACAGTGTTGCCGATTTACGTATAATTATACGATTTTCGTATATTCTGACTTGCCAGCGTATCTTTTTCTAACTCTTTGAAATTCCGTATAATTTTCGTACATTCTGGGAAAAAATTTGGATCTTTTTGGATTTCCATTTATTTTAGAAATAAGTTTAAACACTTCTGAGTTCATTTGGACAAGTTGGTTGTTTCAGTGTGTCTTCTGTTCTACTTTTATTAAACAGTGACTGACTGGTAGCTGGCTGCTTATTTTAGAGAAGGACACACTCCATATCATTGACCAAAGAAAACAGGTCCGGAGCCCTTTGCTTTGGAACTTTTGGCAGTCTGTCTGAATGAATCTGCAGTGCTATATTTATTCTATCAGCAGTGTCCCATCTCACAAACCTAAAGTCGAACCTGACAGCAACACAAATTTGATATCCTCAAATGCAAAGATGTGGCTACAAAGCTAAATCTACAAAGGCGTATAAAAAGGGTATCTTTTGTACCCAGCCACCGTATACTTTCAAGTTTGGGTATTGGCAACACTGGGTTGTTATAACCTCGCGACATGTTCTTGAAAAATTAATTCGTCCACTGTGTTTGAGAACTGGAATCAGCGATTCTGTTTGATCACGTGATCTTCGAAGGCTCGTGACCTTCAAGCACACGCAAAACCGATATTCTACACCGAAACTTTCAGTACACAGGACAGTAGCGACCGGCACGGGCTTGGTATCGAAATCGTGAATTTATAATTAATATTATTCTGTTGTTTCTGTTATTTTGCTTAAATATTTTTATAGTTGACTATTTTGTGATTTTGTTGTGCTTTAATGACAGTGTGAGTCATGGAAGAAGGCAAAAAAAAAGCTGGATTTGTTTGTAGTTATAAAGACTGCAAAAATAAATCTTATATTGGTGCATATTCATTTTACAGATTTCCTCAGGATGTTGAAAGGTAATATAAATAAAATTTAATATATAAATCAAATACAGGGTGTTTTAAATTAGCTGTTACTTATTTTCTGTATCTTTAATCTGAGGGAGGGTGGGCTGCCCCACAGTATTTAGGGTATATCTTAATAATAGTATATTATGCAACGATCATGTATTAATAGTCATTACATTAGAGTTACATACCCTATTTTTTCTACGACCAAGAACTAGTTCTTCAATCGAAAATAGATTAATTTAAAAAATTATAATTCTTTTAATCCCTTAAAACCTTAGATAATTGACAACAAATTTAGTGAACGTTGCAGAATAATATTTTTGAATTAAAAAGTTTTTAAAATTGTAATGGACGCTTTCAAAAATTTTAGAATCGTCTCAACGTATTGTTAAGAGATAAAAATCAGTAATTCTCATGATATTATTATTTTTAAATGTATTTATTATTTATTCTAAGTTCATTTTATTAATTGTTAAATACTACAAACTTTTTTATTATCAATATGTAACAGACAACAAAATTTTAATAATCTTGCTATTGTACTATTTCTTTTTTAGAGCAAAATCATGGCTCATCGGATGCTACAGACCAGATCTCTCATACAAAGTGGACACACTTTACAAAAGCTATAGAATTTGTAGTGTCCATTTTTCTCCGTGGATGTTTAAAAAAGGAAAAAGACACATTTTGAGAAAAGATGCTGTTCCACTAAGCTATATTTCAAATGAAGTCATAGACGAAACAATTCCAAGCACATTGCGGGGTCTTAAAAATATTGAGGATCCCAGCAATACATTAGGGTAAAGATAAAATGAAATATTAATATGTATACAGGGTGTAACTAAATAAGTGTAATACATTTAAGGGGGTGATTCCTCATCGAAAAAAAGATAGGATCTTTCATATAAAGAAACTTCATTGGAGCATCCCTTGTTAAGATACAGCCCCTTAAAGGGGGTACATAAAATTTGTTTAACAATTTTTTTCACAAGCACTAAACAAGTTACAATATTGAAATTAACCTGACATTTTTTACTACCAAAAAGACACTTAGCCAGTAATTTATTTGGATTACCCCATGGTTGTAAGGGGTGGAAAACGCAACCCCTAAAATTTCGTTCAAACGTAACTTTTTGTCTTATTATTTGTTTACCATTTGAAAATTTATTTCCGATAGCCTGTTTCATTCTAAACAAAAAATGTCTCTTGAATGTTTTGTCCAAAATAAACTAGTTCGTAGCAACAAATTATTTTACGAACAACTACAGAGATACATCGTCATAAATGCGAACTGGATTTATTGTTATTTTGTAGTTACTACCTGCATTAAATGAATTAAAAGAGGAATAATCAAAACTAATTTATTAATAACAAAACATACAACATGTTCAATATGTCTACCTCAAATAATCCTGGAGTCTCTCTAATTACCCTGCACGCATCGATGATGCGGTTTCTTAAGTCATCTACATCGCGAACAGGAGTACGATAAACCAAATGCTGCAAATAGCCCCAAGTAGAGAAATCGAGAGGATTGAGATCCGCGGATCGAGCGGGCCAATTCTGTGGTCCTCCTCGACCTATCCACTGATTTGCATGTTTCAGTTAAATGCTGACGTGCTACTTGACTAAAATGGGCGGGAGCCCCATCATGCATAAAAAACATATCCCTTCTGACGCCCAAAGGAACTTCCTCCAGCAGTACGGGATGCACTTCTCTTAAAAATTGAACGTATGCCTCACCATTTAATCGAGGAGGTAGAAAATAGAAATATATATTTGTATTAAGTATATATGTATTCAAAAGTAGCCCCCTCGAAGACTAGGCCGCGAGCAGCTTCTGAGTATTGCGAAAATCATCAACTCGCAAATCGCATACTAACGCCTCTCTACAACGGAAATAATAGTCAGCGACGTCAATCCCTAGTTCAAAAACAACACAACAAGAGCGGCTGAAAGTAATATGTAATATTCTACAAGAAAAGGTTCTTGAATGTTCTCGAAATGCCGCTTATTCTAAATGCTGACACAGCATGTTGACACAGAACGCGCACCGTTGCCAAATATACTGCAGCCCGTGTAACGGAGTTTAGGAGGCATTTGAAACCAGTCTCTATTTTAATGGAGGATCGCGGTCGACGACGTAATTTTGTACTGACATTTTTTGACAGCAGCGCGGAGGTTGCAACACTGAATAACCATGGAACAGCATATATACGATGTTGAGACTCGAGTTTGAGACTTGTTCTACAGTAGTGCTTGCTGGGTGAAGGTTATAGTTTTAATTTAATATTTAATAATTATTTTAAATATTAATTAGTAAAATGGAGCAGGGAAAAGCTTCGACAAGTCTTGTCCCGCCTGTCAAAAAAGTGAAAAGACATTTAACTGTGGCTGAACATGTATTGGTAAAAACTGTATATCAAACTATTCGCGCTCAAAATCCTCATTTTAGTGTGGAGGACGCAGCTGAATCATGCGGAAATTTAACGAATTTGAGTTCTCGAACGGTTTTCAGATCACTTAAAGTCGACCCAACGAAGGAAAGAAAGGAAACAAGAGGTAGAAAGAGAAAGTAAGTTACTCTAGATGTTCATACATATAAAAAATGTAATTCGCCGGAAAGTGCACTTTTTTTTAGAAACGAAATGCCAACCTTAAATAAAATTAAGGCTGCAGTATATGCTGTTTTTTTTTTCTCCTGGGCTCGTCTGACTATGTGTCTCCGAATAACACTGAAGCCTATTGGCTTATTGTGTTTTACCCCATGTTAGTTCATAGCACCCACTTATCACCTTTGTACCTTGTACAAGTTTGTACAGATCCTTGGGTGAGAGGGTTCTATACGTTGTTGGATCAACCTGGGGTTGTCCAAAAAGAGCCTGTCTTTGGCGATCTAGAGCTTCGCATTCGCACAGTATGTGTTTGGCCGTTTCTGGTTTCTTGTGACATAGTCGGCACATGAGTTCCCCATTGTACATGCCAATTTTGTTCAAGTGTCCCTTTACTGGGGCGTGCCCAGTCATGAACCCTGTTATCACTTTCAACTGGTTCCTATTCATTAAGAGTAGTTTTCCAGTTCTTTTGGGACATGGTCTGCCTATGAAGGCTTTTCCATGTGCCTGGTTTGGGGTGCTTCCCCAATTCCCCAAGTATATGCTGATAAAATATCCTTTGGAGTTTTAAAGCGAACATTACGCGTTTTAAACTGTTAATTAACTAAGTTAACGGTAGATGGCGATTAGATGCAATTCTGTGTAATAATTCAAATGTTTAGTTATTCCCCGAAAACGCTTGCTTGGTTGCCAGATTATGTACCTAGGTCAAATAATTTTTATTTTACGGCAAAAGTTGGGCAGTGGCAAGTCGCCTAACAACGGCCAACCGGCGAAACGTAATCATTCAGTGGCGAAGCCTGGCTAAAGTATAAACGAAGTGAACAGAGTGCGAATTAATAACACTAGAAATGCGTCCGTCTCTGCCTCTGACGTCACACTTTCGCGCAGCGTCGAGCACGTGGTTGTACCATTCTTATCTACCTGACTCTGGGCCGTATTTAAATAATTTTATGGACTAGAATATAAACTTTGAGACAATGTTCTTATCGACACTACTTATTTGGTTTTTATATTATCAAGTGATGGTATAACTTTTATAATGAAAGCCTGTAATGTATGTAATTTGGAATATATGTTTCTTTCATGGGCGCAGTTCATTTCATCATGATAATCTCCTGTCTTTTTCCCTGAAAACAAGTGAAAAGAATGTATTATCTATAATGCAAGTATATTTTTCATAATTATTTTTGTATGATACTTAAACTTACAAAAAAATTCTTTTAAATGAAATAATTGCTTAGTTGAGCAAAAATTATTAGGAATTTTAAATCACAAAAAAATAATCTGTTTTTAGAAGAAATATTTCTTCAAGATGATAAGACTTATTATAATAATCCTAAGAAAAAGTTACTACTAAAAACTTTCCCCTGTATAACAGGTAAAGATCTTTTAACTAAACTGAAGATAATAAAATAAACCACTACATTAAGTACTTAAATTACTTCTTAATTAGATACTTTAACAGTTTAAATTAAATTTAAGCTGATCATAACTTTCGATTGTTAAGCATCATGGATTTTTATGAAGTAGGTAAAGGCGCAAATAATAAATAATTATAAAAAATAGATTATTACCTGAGGTAAAAATCAACAGTTCATTTTCTACAAAATTATCCTTACTCCCTGCAGGCAACATTATGAGCCTTTTCCCCTTGCTCATTGGAGTTTTGAATTTGCCTTTGCCATCGGTCCATCCTTTTGAATGTGTATGACTACTATGTAAATAGGTCTCATCACAATAATAAATAGTTCTGCCCTCTTGCCGATAATGTATTAAGGATTTTAAAAAATTTGTCCTCTTATTCCTAATGTCGTAGGATTCCAACAGAACAATATGATCACTGTTTTAAGGATTATGCTTTTAATTTTTATTCGATTAGAATTTTCTGTTAAGAATTCTCTAGAGAAATCTTTCCTTTACAATTTGTATTGAAAAAATATTTTTTTTTGTTTTATCTGAGTGTTTAATTTTAGTTTCAGTTTTTTCATCAAGAAATAATAATATGTTCACCGAATCCTTAAAACAGTAATCATATTCAGACTTTTTTTTTATTTTTTTTTTCTACGTTGTGGTAATACTTTTTTGGTGATTTCATACTACAGAACTGTAGTAGAACTGTAGTAGCAACAAAAAAAAAATCACGTACAAAACCTTAAATATTAATAACTTGGTAATAAAATATATAAAACCTACGAATTTTATCTCAACAATAGCTCTTAAGATAAAAAAAATATTGTTTACAAAAAATCTGGTTTTAAAAGGTATTTAAAATATTTCAGGATGTTCGGTTTCTTCTGAGATTAATATTTATAGTTTTGTAAATGTACTTACCAAAATATACACAAAATTAATTAGGAATTCAAAAAATATAACAAATTGAAGTTTATATACACATAAATCTAAGCACAAAAACTCAAAAAATCGAAGCACACAACTCAAGAAACTCAAAATAGCTAAATAAATGCAACAAGTACAAATAAGTAACACTACGCTACTGAATTCAACTTGTATGAGCGGTGATGAGCGGCAGGCGGCTTCGATCACGTTTAAATCTGTCTGACCACGCCTACGAGCTCTAATAGCAAGTTGATATGTAACTTTTACACCTTTTAAAACTTGTTCTAAACCTAGCCACCTTTGTTCAGAAGTTTAAGTAGGTATATATTACATGTGAAACATTTATAAAATTTAACCGGATTATATTTCTTCAACAGGAAAGGCAGGGTTCTTTTCAAGTTTGCAAACAAAAACCAACTTTGGTCAGCCAGCTTAAACGATAGGGTCCAGATTTCATATCTATTAAATAAAATTTAACATGTATGCTTTTAAAGATAGGTTCACAAAATAGCATCTGTACCCCCCTGGAAAAAATCTGCCTGCGCTCATTGGTTTCTTCTAATAGATATTACAATATTTCAGGTAGGTTCTTGAAAATAAGTAAATGGACCTAATTGTTTTTTAATTTCCAAAATGAAGCTCATTGCATTTCAGTTTAGTCCTATTTCTAGGTAAATAGGTAACATCAGGTACAATTTTAGTATTTTAGATGAGTAATAAACTTAAAATGTTATCCGATAATTTGTGATTATTGATGTTAGAAAATCACAAATAGGACAGTCCCTTGGTAATCTAATTTTGAACGAAAAACAGCTGTTTCTTGTCTGAGTCAGCACCTTAGAAGGGGGTTCGTACTTTTGAAAATAGGCTTAAATTTCGAGGATTTTTAGAAAAGAATTGTAACTGATCTAGTTATCCGATGTTATTGAAAAAAATATATGTTGTTTATACAACTGAAATTTACCAAAAATCAATAGGAAACTCATTAAAAATTGAAAGTCGCAAACTCGTTGAACTTTAAAAAATTATTACTTGTATATTTTTATAAATATCAAAAGAAAACGAAAGAAGAACATACTTTTTATTATGTTCCTAATATGCTTATATGATTGATATTTAGTGTGATGTCATTTTGGTATCACTGACATTTAATTCTAACCAAACTTTTAACAAAAACATCAATAGATTTGACATACGTTTTTACTGTTTTAACGATATAATTTAGGTAAACAAAACGCACTCAAAAAATGTCATCACTAAAATGGCGTATCCCATTTGTTTTTAAAGCAAAATCTAAGTGTATAATACTTCTATCCTTCGTATCCTTTCTTTGTTGTCATGGAGACACGGCGGCCTGCAACAAGTGATCCTGGGATTTTAAGTTTCAGATCGATACCGGTCAGTGCCAGGCCAGTGGTGTCTTAGTTTTTAGTAGTGATATTTTGTGATTTTTATGTGTGCACTGTATACGATAATGGGAAATAAACAGAAATTAAAATTAACTAGCCATAGGAAAAATAAGACTTTAATTGCAAAGAGAAGGTTTGTATTGTTATTTTATTATGATGATTGGTATCTGAAAACTATATTTTTATTTTATTATTGATTTTTTTGGCTACATATTGGCGATAAATATGTTTTGGTCGCTATTTTAATAGATACGTATCTACTAACCCAGAGTTAAGAGGTTATTATTTGATGTATGGGTATTTTAAGTCAGGATTTGGCGCTAAAAGTGCACGTGTTTCTGTGTGTCTGTTTCTAGATGTTTGACAGGTAGTTTTGGAATGCATTAAGAGCATACAGTAGCGCGTCATCACATTGCCTCGAATTTCCTAAATTAACAGCTTGTAAGTAGGATCCCACACATTTGAATAGCCTTTGGCATCGCTGTAACGTCAAAGAAGGGAGGGTCTATAGCAAGCGTCTATAGAAGGGTCAGGTATAAATTGGATTTGTAGTGTGTAATTTGTTTGGTGTGAAGATGGGTAGAAGTGGTTTGACTAAAGGAAAACATGTGCATTTGAGTAATGCAAGAAAAAGTCGTCGAAATATAATGAAAAAGTGAGTGAGAGAGTCAATTAGTTAATGAATTAGGGATAGACGTGAATCCAACCAGAATTTCTTATTTCGGATCGAATCAGGCATTTTCTTATACCAATCCATCCATAAGTCAAATATATAAACAAAAATATTTTTTTAATATTTTATTTTTACCATAGATATCATGCAGCTCGGAGATTTTCGGAAAAAAAGTATCCTTCGACCGAAATACAAAATATCGAGGAAACAAGCGACAGGTAAATATATTTATTTTTCACTTTGTTTAACAAAAAAGCTATTATTTACCCCCCAATAAACTTTAAAAAACGGTAGGAGATAAATTTTTTTACTTTAATCAAGACAGTTTATTAGATAAAAAAATCTTTAAATGAAGATAATTTCCTGACTGTAGCAGAATTTTATATATATAAAAGTTTTTCCTTGGTTTATTCGGTCAAATTTTTTATTAAGTTAAGGTACAGTTACATCTGATATTTATGCCTGACAGTTGTTTATTCCAGTGTAAACCACATACTTTGATTACTATACGAGGCAAAAGAGAGGTCCCACACGCCCAACATAGGGCGCGGCCATTTTAAACCCTGTGACACAGTTTACAGCTAAAGAATCAGATCGCTCACTCTGCGTCGGCACTTTTGATCTCAATGTTCCAGTTTATACACTGCGCAACTCGGATAATACAATACATGACAACCGCCTATAATAAAACAGCAGCCTTCTGCGTATCCTGAATTTGTATCCCTGGAGTGGATGTTATTTTGGAACTTTCAACTGGTCCGAGTGCGCTAACTGATTCTTTAGCAATAAACTGTGACTTCAAAAATAATATTCACTGACACTGACAGCAGCAAGCAAAATATCAGGTTCGTTTTAATCATCCGCTTCTGCTTTCGGAATTGTCGGTTTAGTCGTTTTAACCTGTCAGATTAAAACAAGAAAACCGACAATTCCGAAGCAGAAGCGGATGATTAAAACGCACCTATTAAAAATATTGCGCCAAGATGTAGGCAACACGTAATAAGGGTTCAAAATGGCGGAGTTTTCTATCTCCTTTTAAAAGGCACTCAGAAAGCTGCGCAGTGCGACCATTCTCCGTATAGTAAAAGAAAATCAAAGTATGTGAGTGTAAACACTCAAAAATATATGTCCGAGAGAAATTTTTGTGTGTTTACACTGGACTAAATAACTGTCAGACATAAATATCATGCAATAAATATCAGATGTAACTGTACCTTTATTAAGCACAACATATGTTTCGGAAAACAGTTTTTTCCATCTTCTGGTGCAGTCAATTTATTTTTAAAAAACAAGGGGGACGAAAACAAACAGATTAAAAATTTTTAAAATGCTAAAACCCCATCTTTTATTTCGGTGCGTATTTTGGTGTATTTGAAATAAAATAGTGATTTAATTTAACACGATAGGTAGGGAAACAAAAAGTTGAGTTTTTATAAATTTAAAAATTAGCAGTGGTGGTACACTCGTAAAAGTTTAAAAATTAAAAAGCTTACAATTAGTTAATTAAATTAGAATATACATTTGACAGATCTTTTATTATAATTTCTTTTAATATGTATCATCGCAAGTATTGATCTTTTGTTGGTGGATGACAACGCCATTTTAGAAATAAAGTGTCCTTTGAATATTAAGGACATGAGTCCAGAAGAGGGCATACGATCAAAAAAAAATAAAATATGCCAAACTTGAAAATGATTCCTACGCACTCAATAGAAGACATGAATAATACTTCCAGGTCCAAGGTCAATTAGCAATAACAAAAAAAGAAAAATGCTACTTCTTTATATGGAGTCCAAAAGGTTGCTTAATTGGAGAGGTAACTAGGTATTAAGTAACTTTTTTTTAAAATTTATTAATGTACTTTTTTTAGATTTATAAAGATGAGAACTTCTGGTTAAACGAAATGGTTCCAAAATTAAAAATATTTTTTTTCAACTGTCTTCTTCCGGAACCAGTTGATCCAAGGGCAACAAGGAACTTGAACATAATAGAAAACTGTAGAAAATAATTAAGAAATGTAAATTAATAAAATAACAATTAAATATTTTACTCATATAAAAATAGATAATTTTTTTTATATCGCATGTCCATCCATGTCATCTTTTATTCTTCCCTAAATATTTTTTCCTTGAAAAATTATCACAACTCTAAAAGAAATTTTTGAAAACTGTTTCGAATAATTCCGAAACGACATTTTTGCTTTCCTCCTACGATCTTCAAAACCGATAAATGAGATGCAATCTTTGTAATTCAAAATATTATGTTACTAGTACTTCAAAAATATAAAAAATTCTACGACTGAAAGTAATACACCAAATCATGCAGAGCGAAATGTTTGTCGATAACGCTCGGTGCAGCGTTGCCACATCGAGCCTCGCCCGTTATTGCAGTGGTAGCAGCACCTGGCGGCCAATTTTAATTAAAAAGCGCAATATTAATTTACTTTTTTAAAAAATAAAGCGTCAAAAATTTTTAAATTTATTATACTTTGGGACAGAAACATTAAAAATTTCCAAAAATTTACTTAATAAAAAAAAAAGATTGTTTCTGCCCCAAGTAATAAATATTGATTAATAACTGAAAAAAATTTCGTGAAAATCAGATGAAAAATAGAGCGTATGGCTTTAAACTAAACTTACGAGATATCCTGGTTGCTCTTAAGGAGTTTTAGATACTCGACTAACAAATTTAAGACGCTTTTAATCTATTTAGGTTTTAAAATTGCTTTAATATATTCAATAAAATTATATTGGTATAAAAGTCACCTTAATATAAACTAAAAGTTCTTAAATACCACTTATTCTTATTCAAAGAATTTAATGCTGTCTTTAAATTAAAATAAAGGATCGATTTCCTCTTAAATTTATCTTATACCGGTTTTATAATACTCTTTACAATGGCTATTTTAAAACTAATTGCCATTTTAAAGAATTAAGTAGCAAGTTGGTTTTAAAACAATCTTTGTTTTGGAACAAATAGTTTTAATGCAGTTTTATGAGGAACCCCATTAAAACTCATTTAGAGAACTATTTTATCTTAAGAGGGCTTCATACTCACTTAAATGATTTTACCTTCTGTTTCCATATCATATACCCGATTTTCATGAAATTTTCAATAGCTGATTGAGATAAAAATCTATTTTACGGGAAAGTATTTGTTTTTTTTTATCGATATGTTTCCCGAAAGTGCAGCTTTTTTTTAAATCTTTGGTATGATTTTCATTTGCAGATAATGATAAATTAACCGTTGGGTCGTAAAATAAAAAGTTCATTTTACAACAATTGATTAGTGGCGGCGCGCCAAGCCAAATAAATAACAGATAATAAGTGAGTTAGTTACGAAGCTACCAGTGATGCCAACCTAGGGAATTTTTCCCTAGTTCTAGGGATTTTTTTGTGCAATAGGGAAAAAGGGAATTTTACCTAATATCTAGGGAATTTTCAAATTCTTCGAACTAATGGCACTTTTTTTAGTTTAATTAATATAATTTTACCAAATTTTAATATTATAACGCCTTGATGAGAAAACCTATTAACCTTGCACCCTGGGTTAAGGTTTAATATTGGTATCTACAAGTGTAGTCCAGGCCTAATATAATTCTCGTTCAGGGAATTACCGAACAGCGGGCTCGACGCAGTGCGTGGGATTTTGTAACTTTAGACTTTAGTCGTTAGTTAGATTTCGTTTACGATACTTGTGTATGTATGCGTTTGTTAGTTAGTTACTATAGAAAGGTTACTATAGAAAGTTCATTTGAATTTATATTTTAAAAGACACTTTGTGGTGAAATTATAATTTGGTGGGAAAAGACATTAAAAAACATGAATCCAGATTCTGATAATGAGTAAGTTACAATATTTAATTATTTTATTATATAGGTATGCTCTTATCAAAGTGAGAATATTATTTTCATTGATTTGTTTTATTAAGTAATATTTTTTATTAAAGGGCGGGTCCAAGTACTCCTATAAAAAAACTCAAAACGAGGCATGAAGCATCAAAACAAAAAATATATGAACAAAAATTTAAATCCGAATGGTTAGGATTGCCTCATTTTGCAGGATGGCTAGCAGAACATCCAACAGATAAATTTAAGTGTCGTTGTATGGCCTGCAATGTAATATTAAAATGTGGAAAATCCGATTTGGAAAAACATAGGGCAACAAAAAAACACGTGGAAAGGGTGAACATGAAACAAAATATCCCATCAGTGGCAACTTTTTTTTCAAAAAACACAGTTCATTGTAAAAAGGTTGCTACAGCAGAAGTAAAAATGGCCAATTTTTTAGCACACCATAACGTTAGTTTTCAAATCATTGATCATTTGGTTCCAGTTTTAAAAGAATGCTTTCCTGACTCAGATATTTTAAGGGATTGTAATTTGGGCCGCACAAAAACGACAAATGTAATTAAAAATGTAATAGCTGAAGAACAATCTCAAGGTTTAATCGAAATACTCAGGAATCAATACTTTAGCATACTTATAGATGAGAGTACGGATATTTCTGTCAATAAATTGTTATGTGTTCTAGCTAAATATGTAGATAAACATACTGGAAAATGTGTAACCAGATTATTAGAACTAATTACAGTTGATGGTAAAAATTGCGACGCTGATCATTTATACAATGCTTTTAAAATATGTTTAAATAAAAAAAATATTCCTGTCAATAATATCATAGGCTTAGCCTCGGATAACGCAAATGTTATGTTAGGCAAAAATAATAGCTTCATGACCCGATTAAAAGATGAAACTCGCGCATTAATTGTTATTCCTTGCATTTGTCATTCTGCAGCGTTAGTGGCAAATAAGGCATGCCTAAAATTGCCAAGAACTCCAGAAGAGTTCATTAAAAGTGTAGCTAGTTTTTTTTTAATGTCGGCCAAAAGAACTGCAGAACTGAGAGAAATGCAAGAATATTTCAAAATGTCACAGCTTAAAATGCTAAAACTTTCTGGTACAAGATGGTTGAGCATGCAGCATGCTGTGCAAAGAGTAGTAGAAAATTGGCAGGTGCTTTTAAATTATTTTAGACTCTTAAAAACTGAAGAAAACTCTAAAACAGTAGACTTTATTTTTGATGAATTAAATAATACCTGCACAAAAGCTATTTTATTATTTTTAAAGTACATTTTACGATATTTTAACACTTTTAATGCGCTTTTTCAAAGCAAAAAACTTTTAGTGCATGACTTATCTTTTGAATGTCGCAAATTATATAAAGATATTTTGTCTCACTTCATTCAACCTCACCTAGTAACTGATTTTAAAATAAACTTACAACATCCTGGTAATTTTTTACATTTAGAGTCAATCAATTTAGGAACAGAATGTAATGAGTTTGTGTCAGGTTTACCTCCAGACATAAAGAACCACATTTGGAAGTCATGTTTACAATTTTTAATAGCAGCGTCTGTTGAGTTACAAAACCGTTTTCCGCTTGACAATACATTTTTTGATAGTTTACGTTTTTTGAAGCCAGATGTTGCACTCTTAGATAGACCTGAACATTTAAAAACACTCAAACATGTCTATGATAATTTCAATGAAATTGAAGATTTCGACAAAATGGAGGTGGATATAGAATGGAATAGCCTTTTACATTATTTTGATAATGAATTAGAAAAAAAGCGTTTCATGGAAAAAACAATTGAAGACTTTTGGTGGTCGTTGAGGCAAGTACGAAATTTTGAAGATAAATTTGAATTTAAAAATCTCTGCTATTTAGCATCTCTTTGCATGACGTTGCCCCACAGTAATGCTGAGACTGAAAGGATATTTTCAGTCGTTACCGACGTTAAAAATAAAAAGCGAAATAAAATATCCAGTGAGGCATTAAATGCTGTGTGTTCAATACGTCTTTCTAATGAAAGTTGCTGCACACATTTTTCAGTAAATGAAAATCATTTTAATCTAATGAAAAAGGAAAACCTTTACAAAAAAAATGATTAATTTTCAAATTCAATACTTTTTGGGTTCAGAAACTTATTTTTGTTAAATACATTTTGTTATATACTCTTACAATTAGATTAGTTATTTATTTTATATAAGTATTTATGATAGATATAGTTGCTAAAACGTTTTTTCGTAACTTTTTCATATAATAAACATAATTCCTAAAATACTGTATTTTGATTTTAACGTATGTGGGTACATCTAAGTTTAAATATTCAATGTGATTTTGATCTAGGGAATTCTAGGGATTTTTCCACATAAAAATTGGGAATTTTCGACGAATTCAGTTGGCAACACTGAGCTACCGTCAGTAGCATCGTAGTCGTGCGTTCCAGACTGCGGAAAGCTTTTGTTATTATTTGTTTTTGGAATTTGGACTTGATTGTAGTTGACATTTATTTAATATATTATAAGGTCTATCAGAGGATTAGCTTACCAGTGGACAGTTTAATAGTACGCGACGAATAATTTGGAATTCAAGTGTTCCACTGGGCCTCGGACGGTTTGCTTCAAGTTTTATTGATTTTGTTCATTGTCGGTACTTGTGTGATTTTGTAATTATGGGAAGAACAAAACAAACGAAGGGATTTGAAAAAGGAAAACGTTTGTTCAGTAGTGAAAAGAGACGTAGCCGAAAGAAAGCTCAAAAAAATTCGTTACTCAAAAGGTGAGTTTTGTATTTGAAATGTAAACTTGGCTGGCTATTTGAAAAATACCATTTCAGTTCTCCCATTTAATACGCATCAGCTAAAGAAGACATTGGGCTGCGAATTCGCCCACACGTGGCCCTTTCAATTATGGAGTCAGAGTTGCCAGTCTAGTACAATTGTACTATATCTAGTACGTTCTCTAAGAATCTAGTACAAAATTAATGTTAGGATCTTTCTCCTTGTTTTGTTTTCGTCCCCTCATGATCCGCATTGAAATGAAAATCTAGTACATTTTATAGAATCTGGTGCATTTTTATTCAATCTGGTACATTTTTAAGACAAATCTGGTACATAACAAAAACAAATTCTGACAAGGCTGTATGTAGTTGTATTAAATCATGTGTTATATCAGATCAGAAATAGTGCTTTGTGTGTACACGAATTCTAGATCTGATTTTGTAGTACCAACAAGTTTAACCTCCGATAATTTCGATGTTTTTTCGGATAGGGCGTAAAAATGAATATTAGTAAACTTCCGGCAATCTATGAAAGGTTTCTTGTATCTCTTCGTCAGTCTTAATCTGTTTACAATTCCCAAAAATACCTTACAGTTAAATAATAATAATACTCTCCCTAATTCACCCCCATACGAGTGAATTTTAACCCCAAAAGCTGAGCTTGTCCGGGGAAAGGGACGTATATTATTATTATTATTATTTGCCGTGGCGTTCCGGGGCGACTTAAAGATGATTGATGGTGCCATTTTATTTACAGGTGAGGAAAACCCACTCACCATAATCGAAAACGGTAACGCATGGTGATTTTTAATAATCTGGATGGCATATCAACAGAAATTAAATTTCTGCTAATACGGCATCCATCAAATCCTATAAAGAACCATGCAAATAAATTCACATAGTCTTCCGTAGGATTCGAAACCGTGTCTCGTTTACCAGAAAATTGGCTCGCATCATAGTCTTCCGTAGGATTCGAACCCGAGTCTCGTTTACCAGACACCTGCGCTACCGTAGTCGATAAATATTTCTATAATTGTTTTCACTAATAATTCTATCTCCAGCCAATAGGTACCTATACCTCCCTGATGTATGTCTTTTTAATGGATACCGCTTCCCAATACTGCATTTAGAAAATAATCATCTAATGGAAATTTTCTTTTGTTTCAGGTTAGCAAAATTACGTGCAACTGGTGCGGAACCCTCCACGAGTGCTGCTTCGCATGACGAATTGCAAACTGAAAGGTAAGAAATAAAAATATATTTTTATATCTACGAGAAATTTTTTTGTACTAATTTATTTAACGTTGGTGAACACGCTACACCCATATGAAGTTTCACTAAAATATATTCTTACTCCCACAAAACACTTATATGTTGGGAAATGGTGATATAATTACGGCGCCTCCAGTGTACATAGTTGAAAACTATAAAAATTAAGTTGTCATTGGTCAAGAGGCCATATATGTAAGAGAAATGAAAGTGACGTTATCTTACGGTCAATTTAGAGTAATACAAAAATGCTGAACCATTTAAAATTGACAATACTAATTTTTTTAAGTATATTATACTTTTCTATACCTACACATTTCTAAAATAAATAAACCCCCAATATCTTACCCATGAGCCGCCACTGCTCAGAAACAGTTAGTACATAGTTTATGAACCTTGATACTTATACAGGATGTACCAATAAAAACTCTCAGGCCGGATATTTTGGTAATTAATAGAGATATTTTAATTCTGTAAAAGCCAGTTCACAGAAGTCTAAGAGAGCTTCAGCTTTAGATATAAACTGATTTTAAATAGGTCAATATGTAGATGGCGCTGTGCTCAATAATTTTTGATATACAGAGTGGGTCACTGTTTTTCATCATGTTTTTCAGCATTAATCATTAGATTTTAAGAAAATGCTAAAACAGGTCGATTTTTATTCCTCTATGAGTCTAATGTTCTCCCAGGGCAAATATTAGGATCCTGATCAAAGAAGGGAAGAGTTAAACATGGTTGGAGTCTGTTTCTACCTGATGACTTAATCTTATCAGGAATCTTTATTGAGAATCCATCTGGAGTTCCACAAATATTCTCCAATCTAATAAGACTAAAGGTTTGCATTCTATGTGCAGTAACTAAAGCCAATAGTGTTACTAATTTTTCTAATAATTCCATTAGAGGAAGTTCATGATTGGGACACCAATCTCTGAAGGTATTCAGGACCATTAATGGGTTCCAAGTTGAGTCGTACCTTGGCAGAGAAGGTCTTAGGTTACTAACGCCCTTAAAAATCTTTTGACCCTAAAGTCCACAGCAATGTCCGGTGTCAAAATTGTGCTGATCTGTAGTTATTTAATGACCCGTATGTTGATCCCTCCTGGAACCGTTCTTGTAAAAAATTTAAAACCTTAAAAATATCATTCGTTAAAGGGTCTGTTCCCTCTGAAATACAAAACTTCCACCATAGTTTCAACCCCACCGTATGTTGTTTTAAGGTAGAAATTGAAATGGATGACAGCATAATCTCAATAATACTGCATTCCAGGCTCTTTAGGGTGAACGCCTGTTTGATAAAAATTCTGCCACCAGGGAAAGGTTTTTTGGCAAGGGGTGTGGAAACCTGTCAACAGATAGTAAAAGTAAGGGATCAGGGTCGAATTTAAGCAGTTCTCAACTTAAAATACTCATAAACAAGGGCCACAAAGGTTGGGTACTACTACTAACCCTGAGGCATTATCATTTATAATTTTCTGTATTTGTATGGGTGGGGAAATAAAGTTTAACCTTTAATCCAAGACCTTATAAATGGATCCTCTGAAATATTTTTCCAGAATCTGTAATATTTACTTGAATTCCCTGCTAGAACACTTACTTTCACTTGAGAAGTCGAGCTCTGTTGTATGAATGACTCTGTTTGGATTGATGTTTCTGCGGTCTTTTCCAAGTTTTCTGTTGTCGTCCCCCTGGGCGTGAGTACTTCTGTTGTCCGGGAAACTCTGTGAGTACTTTTGTTGTACGGAGGGACTCTTGTAGTTTAAAGTCTGGTAATTACTAATGCAATGCAACACAACATAACACAACACAATAGTTTGAAAATTAGTCATGTATTATTTTAAACATTATTGCTAACTTTATTCTGTTGCAAGTACAATATGGAAATATTTATATTAATGATATGTGGTGCATTGAATTAGTAATTAAATTAGCTTTCAAATGAAGTGTCACACTTTATAATATGTTACAGGCTTTTTATTCCGATAGAGGGCGCTAAAATTAAAATTATCGCAATAAGCAGTCATATATCTGACTTCCCCATAAAATTACCTTTTCAATGATGTGCCGTACATGGTACATTCCTTATTTAAAATTAAGGGGTTGGAGAAGTAGAAGGGAGGGGGTTGACACATGACAGATGTCTGTATTGTAAAAATGTGTTCAATTTGTAATAAAAATCGACCTGTTTTAGCATTTTCTAAAAATCCAGTGATCAAAAATGGCTAGATTTATCGAATTAGTTCTTCTTTTTATTATTTTAGTTTAATGACCTCCACCATAACGGTATTTAATCAGAGCAGGCAAATTAGCTTATATAGAAAGTACTTCTCTGGCTCTAGGCTATAAAGCACCCTTAAAACTTAATAAAATCAAAATGTTAATGCATTCACCATCACACCATGTGACAATTTATATTCATCAAATTCAAAAATATTATGACACAAATAACTAATCACATTAAGACAAAATTCACTTTTCGATGGCAATTCTTATTAGAGATTTTTACAAAACACATACACACGTGACTTCCGATTCTGAAACCGCCATTTCAATGTTGACACCACGGTTGACAGAACGGTGTCTATCGAATTAGTTTATAGAACAAAATTTGCTTAAAAATGCGCAGCGCCATCTACATATTGATCTATTTAAAATTAATTTATATCTAAAACTGAAGTTCTCTTAGAGCTCTATGAACTGGTTTTTACAGAATTAAAATATTTCTATTACTTACCAAAATATCCGTCCTGGGAGTTTTTATTGGTACACCCTGTATACATATAAATCACAGCCATATGTTTATAACAATTCATAAAAATATCAAACCGCACTTCGTTGATATCACTAATGTTTTTTCTGTCATATATTATAGAGAAAATTTTAAATTTTTGTAACTATCTGTTGAAATTGCATCAAATCTCTGGGAACCAAAAGCTTTCTGGGCGTTTTTATCTTGTTCTATCAAGTTAAAATGCCTTACCTTACCTTTTCTAGAAAAAGCTGAAGTATTAGGCATTCCAAACTGAATGGCTACCAGTGGGTTCTGACGGGTTATGATATGGCAAAATTATGGCAACCCTGTAGGCCTGGTGATTTGACAAGGTCAATGAAATAGATAGTTACATAGATTGATCATAAATATTTTTCAAAATAAACATAAGCTTATGCCTTGAAGTAAAAATGTAAGCAATTATTTTTTTTAAATATCTAAAGGCTAAAAATTGGTTTTAAAATACATTTTTGCTAAACCGATTCAAATTAATAAATATTTGCCAGACAATAATCCCGCTCGTAAACGACCAGCTTTGAGCAATCTATATAACTATATATGTATCATTGACCCTGTTAATGACAACATGACAACAGGTTTGCCATATCTAAACTGTCATTACCCACTGGTAGCCATTTAGACAGGTCGTTGGAATGCCTAATTATCACACCCTGTAAAACTATGACATCCTGGTAAAGCCTTACATAAATATACCCCTAATGACCGCGTTATGATGTTAACATTAATATGTCTTCTAATTACATAAATAAATTTCCTGGAAGTTTATGAATTTTTTCTTAAATAATGATTAAATATCTGTATCTGCAGTTTTTATTATGATTTGGCATTTTTGATAATTGAATCGGTCATTTGAGAAACGACACATGTCACATTTTTGGCCATTTTGTTTTTATTACAAAAATACAATCAAGTTTTAAACGCTAAGTGTACAAAACTATTTTTTATTCATGTTTTGAGATTTTCACTGTTTCTTATTTTTTGAAAAATGATCTAAAACTGACATGTGCTGTTTCTCAAATGACCGATTCAATTGGTACACAACTTCTGCTATCAGCTTGTTCGTGTGCACAAAACAAATTATCATCTATTTCCTTATACACGAATAAATCTATGAAATATGTCTACGCCTATGGAATGTGACGTATGTCTGGCTCTTACTGGGCTCCTCCCATGACCACGGATCAATTCGAAGGTTGACTAAAGGTTTGTTCGGGCGGAATCGGTAGTAATCGGCACACAGCTGACGTGCAGACAACAAACAGTGTGTGTATTATTTAGAACGATTCGTTTGTGTTTATTTCACAGAAACGTCGGATTTTTAATACGTCTGTACACCTACTGTGGTGATAAAACTATGTTCGATTTTGATAGCAGTAGCTCCGATGAGGAATTTCTACTCTTGATGTGTCTTTTAGCTGAAGAAGAAGAAAAAAGAAAAAAACACAAAAGGGTTCGTCGAACATTAATAAAAAACGCGAGGTAGGTTTAAAAAATAATAAAATAATTAATACTACTAATAGTCAACGCAGAATGTTTAAAGTAAAACCTAATAATTATTATAATTACAAATTGAACATAAATTATATACCTATATCAAATATTAAACATCAAATTTAGATCAAATGAAAGAATTCATTCTTGAACTTCCAAACTCATTTCAACAGAACTTTTTATTTAGATTTTGTTAATAGTATTATGAAGAACCTACCTAGTGAATTGAAAAATAATTTTGGAATTGAAATAAAGGTGAAAAAAAAAATTAGTTGAGATCCAAATAACTGAAATGCAATTTTAGGAAATAAAAATAAAAATTCTCCCTATCTCATTATGAAAAATCTGATGTGTCCAACACATGACTTTCCTATCTAGTTAATATAGGCTTTTACCGGTTATTTTGTACAACCTATTGCAGCATCTCTATAAATGTTTAGAGGATAAACTAAATATATGAATTGTCCACATACATCTACCTCGAAACATTTTTCTATAGATATTCATTGAAAACGAAAATACTGAAACATTTAAATTTAGCACTTTTCCATTACGGTCCATTTTAGAAAAATCATGTATAAACAAAAATTATAGAGATCGATATCGCAAACAACTTTTAGTTCAACAATTTTCATAAAAATCAGAATTTTGCACATTTTGTCAAATTTCTCGAATACGGACCATTTTAAGAAAA